CATGGGTCCGACAGTCTGATACAAGAAAAGATTATATGACCTTATGATAGTGTGAAATGTATTATTTTTATTTGAAATTTATTTAGTAAAAGCAATTCATTCATCTTTAAAAAAATATTATTCTAATAACAATTGATTTTTCTATGAAGACCACTTGGAAATACGAATTTAAGTTACATATGTAAACATGTTCACTTTAAAAATCCTGTATGTTTATTGATAAAAAAATTTTGCAATTTCATATTCTATTTCGCTTTTGCAGATCTAAAAATGCGGCATCCTCTTAATAATTGTCTTGCCCAATGCCGCCTGCCATTTTTTTATTATTATAATTATGGATTGGGCTTTGTACAGTTGATATACTTCTTTGTTTGTGCAGATTCTCCTACTATCAATTTATATCATTGGGCCCATAATTTTCCTTAAGATTTTCCTCTCCCTTATATTTATCATGTTCTCTTCTTTCATTGAAAGGGAGCAAGTCTAGCGTAATTTTATTCTGGTCTCATGATGGCTATGCATATTTTTTTGAACGCAATAGATTATATAGTAAAACGAAATAATGCGTTCAAAACGTTTGAATTGTTACAACCATACGATTAAGAAAAAAGAAGGTGACCAATAGCTAAATGCACGCAGCGGTATCGCTAATTGCAATAGTATAGTAAAATATCCAATCAAGAATGTTGTTTGAATAACAATAATCTTTATTTTCTGTTCTACATTCTTTTTGTACCTCATACCACATGATCATTCACTGCAGTTCTCCAACAAAAATTCACAAATTTAATTTAAACATTCATTAAAACAACTCACCACGTCGAAGTCATACAACATGACAACAATACACGACAATCAGGTCAAAAACTTCAGTCAATACACATTACATCAATAATCGGTTGTCACACTAATTCAATTTCACACAGTATTGCAGGACATATAATATGAGAACTTAAAACTGTGTCAATGAATAAATAATCCATATCCAAACAACCGAGCCACATACTGACCATTACAGCCTTCAAAACTACACCTAAAACACATCTTTTTAAACACTGCTATCCTGACGGATTCCCACATCTGACCGAAAAACGATGCTGCTGGGTGTCGTCCATGGCTTGACATCTATATAGTTTAAATATACATTTGTTTTGTTTTATTTAATTTATGTATGTTATTTAATTTTTTAAAGTTTTTGATTATGTTTGTTAAATTGTACGTACAGCCCTAGTAGATAGTTTTATTTATATTTAAATTTTTTTTTAAAGTGTGCTTTGTATTTTTACAATATTTTTTTTTTCCTTACCTGTTAACTTACATTAAAGTAAAGGTTTCATTAACATATTTAAAATAACTTCATGAAAGAATAGTTTCATAATATTTAAAGTAAATCTTAATAAACCCTTACATTGTACTGCATTTTAATTTCTGTTTGTCATTTACCAATAAATTACATTTGCTGGTGGAATAATAACCTCAACATGTAGTTAAATGGCTAAAAACTATACACTTAGTTATTCATCTCGTCTTACTATAATATATATTTAATCCCCTCTCCATTACTGAAAACTTCGTAGACTTCATGTAATATGATTTATCAAATCAAATTTTTCGCATATAAAAAAAAGCATGTCTTTTGTTGATAAAAAATTCACTTTATCATTCTAAAAACGTAAAACATCCTTTAAATTATGTAAAAAAAAATTATTTAATATTTCAGATTAATGATAATGGCGATACATCTTTAACACGTGCAATCGAAGAAAATGATTCAGACACAGCTGAACGACTTATTAACAATTGTGCAGATGTAAACAAAACTAAAGATGGAAATAACGCATTAATTTTGGCTTGTGAGAAAGGTAATGCTCGTATTGTTGACTTATTGATAGAAAAAGGAGCATATCTAAACGAGCGGGGCACATCTGGCTGGACGGCTTTAATGATTGCATGCAAGAATGGATCCTTTGACATAGCTGAAAAGCTTCTTGATAAAAGAGTTTTAATTGATATACAAAACGATGCTTGTGAAACTGCCTTAATGATTGCATGCAGGAATGGATATAATGACATAGTTGAAAAACTTCTTGAAAATGGTGCTTCAATTGATAAACAAAATGGTTTAGGTGAAACAGCTTTAATGATTGCATGTCAAAATGAATTTATTATTGTCGTTGAAAAGCTTCTTAACCGCGGAGTTTCAATTGATAAACAAAAGAATTCTGGCGATACAGCTTTAATGATTGCTTGTGCAAGAGGAAATGGCAAACTTATTGAAATTCTTCTACTGAAAGGCGCTGCTGTTAATATGACAAATGCACTTGGGTCGACGCCATTATTTATTGCATGCGAAAATGGACATACTAATATCGTTTCATTACTTACTGAAAAAGGGGCAAATATTAACAGTCAGTGACACGATGGATTAACAGTTTTAATGATGTCGAAAAAAACGATAAACATGAAAAGACCCATTTATTGCTTATTTACATACAATCTAGAAAGAGGATTACTTAAAACAAAAAAAAAAAACAAAAACAAAAAACAACGTTAAAATTTAGTTTTTAAATCATACTATTTTATGTTTATGTATTAATTGACTAAACACAGTTTGATTTTTTTTTTAATGTTTGACTGCTTCTATATTAAAGTAATATTTGATTAATTTACTCATTGTCGTATTTCGTTTTTGTAAGGTTACAAATACATTATCCATTAATATGTGTGTTAAGAAATATCACTTTTAGTGCTTGATTGTAATCGAGTTAGAATTTTGCTTCACATTAATTTGTAACATATTTATACATTAAAATTATATATCATTATTCGAATTCTGATTATTTATTTTTTCATTTCGTTTACGTTTAATTGTGAATATATTATGCGTATTATCTTACAATTTAAAAAAAAAAATTGAACTTTGGTATATATATATATATATATATATATATATATATATATATATATATATATATATATATATAATATTTACTGACTTCCTTCGATTTTGAAACTCGACCGAGTATCATTATACATCTAATCAATGGCTTATTAGCCACGTCATCCAACTTGTTCGCCCTAGTACACACACTGAGATCACGACAATGGCAATAAGTCTTTCTCCTTACTGCAGATACTTTAAAAGTTATTTTGTTTTTTTTTTAAATATGTGTATCTTTTTTTGCGAAATACTATTTACTGACTCACTGATTACTGGATTACAAAAAAAGCCATCCTATGAAAATAAAGTTCTGCATGTTGATTCCTCTTATAATCCATTTAGAAAGAAAAGTTGTAAGACTTTGTTTTCTTTCCTTTTTTGTTGCTTTATGCTCCTTCGGGCGCTTCCCAAATCAAAATGATCACTAATTATGTCTTTTTGGATATTAAGGTAACACATCAATAGATAATTTCCACGTCAATTATGTCAAGTATTTTTTTCTGAATGAGAGTTATGAAATTGTATCAAAAGAGATTGACGAACTACTATTACCTGTGTAGTACTATTATTAATGTGAAGTCACATTAAAACTTATAATCATATGAGTTTAATTATTTAACTCAGAATGAGTGTTCTTTTTTTCATTTCTAAATACATAATACATTTAAGTGAAATATGTTTTTTTTATTTTTTTTTATTTCTTAACTATTCTTTTGTACACGCTTCGGTATTGATCAAGAAACCCCGAATCTCGGTATTAATTATTTTTTTGGTCAAAATTGCGACTGCCAGTTATCCATTATTTCATTTATTGAATCACCGCATATTATAGGCGCACGTATAAAAGTTTTACTTGCCAAGAATATGAAGCCGACATATTTGCTCTTCATTTGATTTTTATATTTTTCAAAAACTTGTAAACTTGCAGGCTAAATATGATTACCTTAAGCTGATCATACTGTAACTAAAACTTAATTAATGCTGCCATCACCCTCCTTTGGTATCCCTCTATGAATCTTTGATTACAATATATCATAAATTAATCAAAAACTGATATATATATATATATATATATATATATATATATATATATATATATTCTATATTTTATATATATTTAATTAATACTGCCATCACCCTCTTTTTGTATCTCTCTATGAATCTTTGATTACAATATATCATAAATTAATCAAAAACTTATATATATATATATATATATATATATATATATATATATTCCATATTTAATGTCTATGGACGAGTTTGCGAATGATTTCACCAACGCGTCGACAAACCATCTAACACTAAAAATGAATGAAAAGATCATAGAAGTGATAGAATGAAAAGTTGCAATCTTGTGAAATTTTACTTTAATGATATAAAGAGGAGCAATTGGGGGTTCAGATTTCTCATTTATCCTGGATAATTTCTCAGTAAACAAAATGTATTGGGAAAGCCCTTTCACTGTCTGCTTCTATTGGCTAGTTTTCTTGAATTCCGAGAGGACCTTTAATGGGATCTTCATACATGAGTTAACTTCTCAAGTGATGCGTCTCGCCTCTATTTCAGAGCTTAACTCGTTCATATTGTCGTCTAAATTGTCATCCTTTAAGGTTTTCGTAGATAAATTGCTCAAGCGTATCTAATGTATACACATATAAATAAATTTATGAACTATGAAATTAAAAGGACACTATAGTAGTACAGTTTTTTTTTAAAAATAAGGTGATATACCTTTACCTATTATCATTTACCTCTATTCTTTTTTTTTTAAATATCGTTGCGTATGTGTGATAATAAAAGCTATGGACTTATGTTAATTCATGATAATTGCTAAAAATTACTTATCACACTTGCAATCACACGATGGAAAAATTGTTAATTTTTTTTTTTAAATTTATATTTTAAACATTCTTAAAACAATATGAAAATTATCCTTTTTTATTTACAAAAATATATTTTCACTTTGCTAAAATCGAGTTGTGATGAAATGACACATACTATACGACACATCTTGTTTAGTTTAATTTACATTATATGTATATATATATATATATAT